CCCTTGCTGTTTCTCCTAGCTCTCTCTTGGCTGTCTCCCCTGGCAGTATCTCCTCACTTTCTCCTCTCTCTCTCCTGGCCACCTCTCCTCACTCTCTCCTTTGGCTGTCTCTCCTCTCTCTTTCCTAGCTGTCTTCTCTCGCTCTCTCTCCTGGCTGTTTCTCTCTGCTCTCTCTCCTGGCTCTCTCCCCTGGCTGTCTCTCCTCACTCTTTCCTCGCTCTCCAGCCTGGCTGACTTTCCTTGCTTTCTCCCCTGGCTGTCTCTCCTTGATCTCTCCTGGCTATCTCCCCTGGCTGTCTCTCCTCACTCTCTCCTCTGGCTGTCTCTCCTTGCCCTCTCCCCTGGCTGTCTCTCCTCTCTCTCCTAGAAATCTCCCCTCACTCTCTCCTGGCTTTCTCTCCTTGCTCTCTCTCTCCTGGCTGTCTTTCCTCTCTCTACCCTAACTTTCTCTTCTCACTCTCTCCTCTGGCTGTCTCTTCACTCTCTCCTTGCTCTCTCCCCTGGCTGTCTCTCCTCACTCTTTCCTGGCTGTCTCTCCTCACTCTCTCTCTCTCACCTTGCTGTGTCTCCTCACTCTTTCCTGGCTGTCTCTTCTCGCTCTCTTAGAGTAAAGAGCATCACACAATGCATTACATGCTAAAACACACATGCCATGCAATGTGGTGTACTGCATTGCTAAAAAAAAAAAAAAAAAAGGGTCATGTATGTTTAATGACGTGCTCCAGTGCTTTAGCAGCCCATTTATAATGAATGAGCTGCAACATGAGATAATGTGCAATAGGAAGCATGTTAACGCACCGCAATGGATTGTAAAAGTGGGAATCCAGCCTTGAATTTTAAAACAACACATTAAAAAACCCCAACCAACTAACTAAATTTGCAGCAAGCGTGAAATTCCAAATTTCTGGTATATACACAAAACAGTGTACAGAGTTGAGCCATTGCTGGAATGTGATGTGAATGATAAACAATGACATAGGAGGGCAATTTACTAAAGGAAATAAGAATCTTAAAGTGGAAGTGAAGCAACAAATCTGTGTAAGTCTCTTCTGCCATAAAAGTTTCTAGTTGCCCATCAGCAATTGGTTTCTCTGTACGCTGAGCCGTGCATGTGCAGAGCAGTGCAAAGACACGGCATGCTACAGTGAAGTAACTCCCATTTACAGTTGCAGGAGTTATATAAATGGGGTCCAGCCAATCAAGCGGACAAAAACTCAAAACCCAGAAGAAGACAAGGATGAAGGTGAAAGCGCTGGTGAGGGAGGAGGGCAGTGCTGGAGTGGATCACAGGTACGTCTGCCATATTGTGCTAACATGCCTTGCAAACTACACATAGGGTTGGCCCCTTTCCAGGATTCACCCAGACAAAATGGGTTTTGATTCCTGTATGTGCTGTGTCCGGACACAAGATATCAGGCGAACAGGGGCAACCATGGGGTCCTGGTGTTCCAAGTTGGCTGCATGGATGAGGCCGAAGAACACGGAGGTACGCTGGAACATGGGGAGCAAGGAAGTGTCTGAAACAGAGGGTGCACATAAGTCTTGAAGGGCACACTCTCCTTGCTGTCTCTCCTTGCTCTCTCCCCTGGCTGTCTCTCTCCTCTTTCTCTTGGCTGTCTCTCCTCACTCTCTCCTGGCTGTCTCTCCTTGCTCTCTCCCCTGGATGTCTCTCTCCTCTCTCTCTCTTGGCTGTCTCTCCTCACTCTCTCCTGGCTGTCTCTCCTTGCTCTCTCCCCTGGCTGTCTCTCTCCTCTCTCTCTTGGCTTTCTCTCCTCACTCTCTCCTGGCTGTCTCTCCTCACTCTCTCTCCTGGTTGTCTTCCCTCGCTCTCTCCTCTGGCTTTCTCTCCTCTCTCTCTCTCTCTCTCCTAGCTGTCTCTCCTCACTCTCCTGGCTTTCTCTCCTCTCTCTCTCCTAGCTGTCTCTCCTCACTCTCCTGGCTTTCTCTCCTCTCTCTCCCCTAGCTGTCTCTCCTCACTCTCCTGGCTGTCTCTCCTCACTCTCTCTCCTTGCTGTCTCTCCTTGCTTATCCTTCTGGCTGTCTTGCCTTACTCTCTCTTTCTGTTTTCTCTCCTCACTCATCCTCCTGGCTATCTCTCCTCGCTCTCTCCCCTAGCTTTCTCTCCTCTCTCTCCTGGCTTTCTCTTCTCGCTCTCTCCTGGCTGTCTCTCCTCGCTCATCCCCCTGGCTGTCTCTCCTTGTTCTCTCCCCTGGCTGTCTCGCCTGGCTCTCCCTTGGCTGTCTAGCCTGGCTCTCTCTTGATGGTGCTACTAATTTTGTAGGTCCCACCACGGTTGTGCAAATGTTTATCAACTCAATAAAATACACTGAAATAATTATCGGTGCACCCAATAAAACATAACTTATAATATTCCTACTAAATCTAAAAGATAAAAATGTAACACGTTAATAAATAACAAATATTTGTAAATCTAAAATTGTGCCTTTATGCGAAACGGTAAATAAACAAAGGAATGCAAAGCTATAAATAAGCAACTTATGCTAACAATATGGAGGTCCGCCTCATACCTATGTGTTGTGGTAAGGTCTGATCTGCAGTGCCATCTGTGTGCTGTGTTAGTGTGTGTGTGCGATAAAATGATGCAGGCATACATTTAAACACAATGCAGCATATTGCAATGCTTTGCCATATGTCACACATGACTGAATTAATGTTACTTTAAAAAGTATTTTTAAAAAAAAGAAAAAAATTCAAACACTGTGACGTGTTCTAGCAATGCACCATAGTGCATGTGCATAACACACACCACAATATGGTGCACAATGTTGGATGATATGTATGTGGGGGAGGGGTTATTCCTTTTTTTTATTTGAATTTTATGTTTTATTACATTATAAAATTATATTATTATTATTTATATTATTATTATTATTGCATTACCATCAGGG